AATATATCAGCATATAGTATTAGGAATAATGATGAATTTAATTTAGAACAAACAAATTTAGAAACTACAGAAGTTTTATATTCAGGGTATTTAGGAAAAATGAATAAAAACGGCAGAATGTTAGGACTATCAGAAGTGCATGGATTAATGTGTGATACTAATCATTACGTATTGTCATGATCCAATTGTCGACGTAATCTTAACCAAATGTCTATTTAATTATGTGGTTTCAAAAATGAGACCCATATATTTATATAAATTAGCGAGGAAATAAAAAAAAAATTATAATCAGAATAAATGAATTATTATAGTTAATAAATAAGTTTTAGAAAATAAATTATATATATTTATGGTGATAGTTAATACATAATTTAACACTTGTTATATTATTTTAGAGGAATTAAAAAACATAATAAAAACAGAAGTACATATTTATAACTTTAAAGAAAATGAGATGCAGTCAGTATGTTTTAATTGGCATATATTGAAAGCGAACAAAAGATTAAATAACTGCTATGATCATTAAACTCTAAATAAAATAACAAGAAATCTTGAACTTTTTATAAATGATCACTGTAAAGGAGAATGTAAACATTTAGCAGAAATAATAGAAAAAACTAGAGACCCGAGTTATATAATAGACTATCCTAAGTAAACAAAAATGTATGGTTGCATATGTGTGTGACAATTTTAATAATTATTCATATAGATTTAGTATAATAATTAATTAGTGGAAGATAATAATTTATTATTATTGTAATCAAGGAAAAAATACTTACATTATATTATATACTTACACTTTAAATGTTGTAATTTCAGGTACAATACTATTTTATTGTTTTGGAAGGACTATTGCTCCTTCTTACTAACACTAGTTATTTAATAATTTATGTATTAATTTTATTCTTACTAATCACGATATATAATTTTTAATATATATAATAAATATGTAACAGTAATTATGTATGACACTAAAAGTTGTAAATGTCTACACTGTAATATCAAAATTGTAAACTATTATAACAAATTGTAATCAAATGTATGTCAAATTGTAAATCAACTATTGTGATTAATTAATTTAACAATGATTGTAAAAGATTCTTAACCCTTAAAGGTTAACAATCTTCTTTTTGGTTGGGAGGTGTAATGGGATTACGCAATGCATGTAAACGCTCATAATAAGAAGAACCACTTATATGAAAGGCGGCCTCGTCGACCGCACCTAGAAGTGGTCATTGCTAGAATGGACGCCCAAACCACTACAACTTTCCAAGGGCGCCTACATGCACATTAGATGTACCAGAGCCGCCAAGACCGAGTGAGCCGCTTATGCACCAGCCATTACACACAAGTTGTGTGTTGTAAGTTACACGGAGATTACTACTAACTACTACAATGAGTCAACTCACGGCATTACAATTCACCGCGACTATATTAAATATTATTGGTTTTAATAAACTACAATTGATTTATGTTTAAATTGACTATATTTTATTGTAAAAGTGCATCAACTTTTGGATCCCTGAAGGTTTGGTAACAATAGCTTACAAATGCTATTCAATTTTTCTGGAATAAAAATATTAAAAAAATAAAAAATAAAATGGAGTCAGCAATCGTATGGGAAGAAATCAACTCTAAATTGCACCAACTAGAAGAAAAGAACCGAGGCATGGATGCAGACAGAGTCGCTTTCAGAAAAAACATGAACGATTTGAATATCAGGATTGTGAAAGCAACTTTGAAAACAACAAGAAATAAATTGAAAGAAGAAAAACAGAAATTATTAGATAATTATAAAAGTTTAATTTATACGAACTATCTTTGTGAAAAAAATATACAGAGAGTTCTAAGTGTATTGTATGATAAATTAGACCTTATATAATATAGTCGCTGATAATATTCTATTTTTCGAAAAAATAAATTATTTTGTTATTATTTCTTATTTTATCTTATAATTATATAACGAATGATATTGTAATAAATTATAACCTATATCATTGTGTATATAATATCTGTCGAAGGATAATAAATGTTTTTAATATTCAATAATGTTCAAGTTTTATTATCGTTCAAATAAAACTAATTTAATAAAAATGTCAGGGAAAGTGGTTTAGATTTAAAAAAACGTATAAATTTTCTAACAGAATGAGTGTGTAAACAATGTATCGGTATTAACAGTTAGTTAAAAAATTGCTAAGAAATATAATATTATAATATAATTAAAATAAATTATTTGCACATACATATAATTATAGAATTAATACATTTATACTTCATATTTGTTATTTATACTTGCAATGAAAAATTATACGCGATACCTTTTAGATATTGAATTGTCGGAATATTATAGTAATCGTCAACAATATTTTTTAAATATTCGGCAGAATCATTTGGTATATTTTTTTTTTTTATGGGACGAACGTATGCCAATATTAATTTGATGTAACTGCATATCCACTAAAATCTGTTGATTTTGAAGGGCTTTTATGAACTTCCAAATTGTTGGAATACACGACCCTAATAGACAATTGAAGCCTCTATTCCAGCCTAAAACAATTAAATATAATTTATATAATATACATGATTGCAAGTTATTAACAAATTTCTGATTAACTTCAATAGAGTTATTTGTTTTTGGTAACCCATGTTTTGTCGCTTCATAGCAATTCCACATCTGAATTGAAAATATTGAATTTCTTCTTCCCTGTCTTCGAGTTGGTCTGCCTATACATGGGTATCTTCAAAATAGTCTACTATTGGTTGAAGAAAATCCTCATGTTCCTTGCAGTATTCAGTATCTAAAAGTTCCTCAAATGTTTTTTCTAAGACATTTATTGGAACAAACGCAAGTGCTGGTAGTAAGCGAATCTGAATAGAAAAATTTGGGTCATTGATGTATTTTTCCTGCATTGAAGTTATAGTCTGCAGTTTTCGCCAAATACACTGACTGAGATGAAAAAAACAACCACGGTTTTCGATTTGTAGAAATACTTCTTTAAAAGCATTAATAGAGGCGTTTTCAAAATCAGTTAAAATAGATTTTGGGTTTAAACAATTTTTTATTTCTTTAAATTTTTTTAGTAAACTCACATAAGTAGATGATTATTTATCGGGTAATAGTGCATATAATGTTGGTATACATCTATCATGTTTTAATACGTGTAATTGTATAGATTTCATTAAAAATAAGTGGAGCTGATTTTAAAGTACCATCAGAAAACCAGTGATCGGATTTCGACATCGGATCCATACTATCAGATATCAAAAAATTATAATTCGTTGGTTTGACACACCATAGTCATCGACACTGTCATATAAAATAAATTGTTTACCATGAGTAGTCAATTTATATTCAATAGGCAATTTGTGTAAATCATCAAGAATTTGAGGATTAGGTGGAGCTAAGCAATTTCTTTGTCTCGTTCTTTGAATTGTACTTTTCAAGTATGCGATCTGTGGAGGTGCACAAAAAACAATTGGAACTACAGAAGATGACGACTCACCTATTATAACTGCATAATAGACTACTGCATAACTGCTATCTTGAGTTTCAACGGCGCGGTTTTTAATATTTTCGACTACTACTTTTGCTTGATTTTTAATTATATCGGCAACAAGATTATGATCGGAAGGGCCTTTAATAATTTCTTCGTATTTTAAATTCAAACGCCCTGTACATAGTTTGTCTATACATCGCCAATATTCGACATCTTTATGTATTTTTTCTTTCCGATATAAATAACTATTTAACTGTAGGAAAAGTTTTCCTTGTTGTGACTTAATATACTACATTATTACACGTTAGAGACCACATTAATATAAGAACTCCGGCGGACGACTAAAATGACAAACTCAACATAAGTACGACGACAGTGACTCAGATAGGACACATGATCATAAACGTAATCTTATCGAATCGTTATCACGGACTTTTCGAATCCTAAAATATTTCACTGTAGTTTCACATAGCTATAATGTATATAAGTAACGTAATATACTTAATATATTTAATCAATGTTAGCACACAGTATTTAAAGAGAAAACGATTATATATATTTTTTCGCTCCATATGCTTTCGCTCATTTTTTATTCGCTCTTTTTCTTTCGCTCAATTGTCGGGATACTATACCCACGCAGTGCTTGCATACTGCAGAGCATAACAGACCAGCCTTCTTACAGCTGCAGCCTGCAGTAGAATAACTAGTCGTGCACTTACAGCTAATTATGTGGAGTAGCTGTTCTGGGGCAGCATCCATTGTTGTGGTGATGGGAACTACACCTGTAAACAAATTAATCAATGAATAGTAATATGATATCGTGTGACAAGTTTTAAGAATTAAAATGTGCTACTAAAGTAAGAAAAAGCTATTGATAAAGTGTATATAAATACCCACCTCGTTTGGTATGTTTCCATCCCCATGCAGAAGGCAATTTCTGATGGCTTTCTTGGCTTCCCATCCATGCCTGGACTTGGAAGTACGTCCTGGGAGAGTGGTACTTGGCGGCATCTCTGGTTGATGGCAGTCTCTGGCAAGTTGACATTTTGGCTTTGTCAAGACTGTGGAAAAAATGCGATACCTCAGGTCTTCGAGATTATCAAGTTCGATGGTCCCTCCATATAGTTTCACAAGAAATTTCTCTCCAATGTCAGAAATTTGAATTTGAGTTGCTTCCGGGTTTTTAATATTCAGGATTCAGTATGCAGGAAAAGAATATCTCGTGATTCGTACTTAAACGAGTGGGCTGAATACAGCATGGTTTTTCTGTCACCTTTTCCATTCTACTGGAAGTAAACATTCATCTTGGAAGAACCCAAAGCGGTGAGTATCACCAGAAGATCTATGTCTTCCCCTGTTATAACGACACTATCATACTTCTCAGCAGCTGAAAGAGCAGTCTCCAAAATCATTACATCGGCGTCTTCTACTGCCTACTTCACTTGTATCCCTTTTTCTTCCATTTCACTCTTCAGCATTGTTATAAAAGTCATCTTGTTTGAATCATTGGAAAGAAATTGTGCCGATCGAAGTAGTCTTAGAAAATAAATGTTTTGTTGAAGAGTGCAGCAACGAACGCCGATATCGTTCAGCTGATTTGGTACTTTGGTAGCTTATTCCAACAGGATAACCATCAAAAACCACTATGGTATTGCTTCCAAAGTGCCATTGGACGTAGTCCACGTAGTTTTGGCAGACTACCTGAAATGGGGCTTCACTTGACTTGGTCCAAACAACTCTATGCACGAGGAACCCACCATCAATGACATTGCATATTCTGGTGCCAAAGGGTATGTCATCAATCATGATAGGAAGGAATGTATCATACAGTATTGATTTTCTGCCTTTGTGTATTCCTGTTTCTGTGAAGAGAGATGTTGGGAAAGGGGCCAGTTTATACTTTAACAAGTTCCTGAGATCAGCCTCTGATTGTTTGGTTATGCACATGCGTTGAAATAATGTGAGTGGGTCTACTGTAAACATTTTGTCCTTCATTTTCAAAGAACAGGAAACAGATGCCAGAGTTACCATTTTATCCTTCCTCTACAACTTCAAGTCTTCAAAATTTCCTTTTTCCAAGGAATTTTTCAAGCAGGTTATACCAATTGATCACGCTATGTAACAGTTTACACCTTGCCCCAACAGCCACTGAACTGATTGACATCAGCTCTTGCGTCTCAGGGAATGGTGAATGTTCTAAAAACCAATCACTCAGTTTCTTAATATCAACATTATCCCTGGCAACGCGAGCAGGCCGCATATCCACGTGCTGGTCGCTTTTCTTTGAGTTTACGTCACAGACAACTTCCATTTATTGATTTATTCTTTGAAGGCATAGCATACCAACAATGCACCTTGACAATACGCTATTGCTGATTCCAGGTCCGTGTGTCAGCCCACCGTAGCTATTCATTGCACGCATGAGAACCTGTTCAATGGTCATATCCGACCAGATCCCAACCAGAATTTATCGGATCTTCGAATTGTGAAGTAGCCCTGGGTGGTGAACTTTACAACTTCTGCTGGGTTCATTTTCTCTAGCAGCGTCAGCATATCTTGATAGTAGAGATGAGCACTTTTAGCGTAATTTAGGTGGCCTGCTGCATGACAATATGGAAGCATATCTCTGATAGAATGAAGGTGTAGTTTCTAGTCACCTGTCCTTTCAGCTCTAATGAAGTTTTTCATTAGCGTGCACACGTGGAAATATTGAATCCAAAGTGTAGCAGTTGGCCCTCGGTCCTCGATGTTCTTCAGAAGACTGGACAGTTTTTCCGTCACACTTTTTAGTGAAGGGTCATCTGAATTTATTTTCGAACTGTATTAAGAGTCGATTACAGTGTCCAACGCCAAGAGCTCATTTCGTCCAACCTCAAAATATCAACTATGAGTAGCGTATGCAAGGTTAGGTTAGGTTAGGAAAAGCTCTGGTATAAGCGTGCCCTGAGATAATTTTGTCAACACTGTTGCTTGCAAAGACCTCGCAGAAGAGCTGCTTCAAACCACTCCCCGCCATTATGGGAACCATGGCACCCATGAAACTCATCAAGAGGTGAAAACCACCAAGCCTTAAGACCACGTTGCTGAAGTCTGGGATGCAAGCAACAACATCCCGAGCCTTCCAGAACAATAAATGGTCAAAGGTCACAACACATGTGTTATGTTTAATTAATGTACACTTGTCAAGTGCAGTGAGGATGGATGTATACACAGTAGAGTAGTCACTTGGAGGTGAGTTGATGAACGGAAGGCACACTATCTTTGAACATTCATACTCTTACCCTTGTGTCCTAAATTCCATAAACCCATTGCACCCAGGGACTGTTGACGAGTGAGCATTTTTTCCGTAAAGCTAGGCGATGTCAGATGCAAATGGTACAATGTCGTCTTGAGGTTGATGTCTATGTCATAATTTTGACAGTTTTGAGCCCAGAATTTGGTGGATGGTAAAATTCTTTACATTCAATGGCACCTGCTTTACCAATTGCATGGGATAATGCGAATAACATCTTGCTCATTGGTCACAGCATTTCAGGGGGGGGGGGGGGTGAGAACCTTTATTTCTCCCATTGCATGGAAAGTATAATGTAAATCCAGTATATTTACTATTTACGTTGAAGTCTGCGTCAGCTTCCTTTGCTTGCATAACGTACGAACCTTCAAGCCTAGAAGCTTCGTCATAACTGACTGAAAATCCCAAGGTAGCAAGTAGATTCAGAAGAAGTTTCGAACCAAACTTTTTGTAACAATATATTGAAACCCCGATCATAATTGAAGACAATAATGATTTTGGTCGAACAGCTACCATTATGGAATGTGACAGAGCAAGACATTTCTTCTTCCATGACTCCAACGAACCCTGTTTATTCGTCAAAATAATAGTGTGTAACAGAAGAAGCAGCGGCTCCGGAATTACATAATGGGCACCAACATGAAAATTATCAATCGGAGGGTAGAAAGCAGTGTTGAAAATCTTTGAGCGAATATCCTGTAAAATAATTTTCCCGGCAGTTTCTACAATTCTAGCGCGCTCTTCTTGTGGGTCCAACATCTTCTCATTACAGTGCCAGTTGTTTGTCAAGATTTTGTTGCCAATACTTTTGAAACATACAACACTCGCTCTGTTAGCCGACTGAGAAATTATAATATCATCTCCATATTTCTCCTCCAGACACTTCTTCACTGTTTTTATATGAGGACGGGAATCCTCCGGAATCTCGTCTATCAACTGTCCAAGAGAAAACTGACATTCCACTTTGTTGTTGTCCAGAAACATATATATAATTTCCATTGCTTGGACAATGTTGGGAGTAGGTTGTCCTCTCTTCTGAAAACGACCAGGCAATTTGTAAAAATTTTGAATGCACTTTTGGTGATATTCTGCTTTTACTGCTACTAAATCAGTGTTCATACCTTCTAAAATCCCAAGACGATCTCCGATTTTTTTTTCCCCATTCATCTCCACGCTTTGCTTTGCGTACGACAAAATGGTAATTGCTACTTCAGGTAGCGTTACTTTGACCATTGGATTGCGCCTTTCAACTGGTAATTTGTTCTGCTTTTGAATGTACTCATCAGTTATCGAATCTTCGCAAAAGAAGCACTTGTTGTTATGTTCATAATGATATGAGATAAAATGATAATGAGACAATACTTGAGCGTGTCAGCTTTGTGGGAAGTGTATGAGTTTCACTTTCACGGCTCAAAGGAGCCATAATTAATTTCTCGTTGTTGTATTTTTTTTTGACAAGCGATGTGAATTGTAATTTCTTTCACTCCTTCCAACAAACATTGATGTTCGCGCCGTCTTCGTTTTAAAGCAGAAGCACGAAGTGTATCAACTCCTCTATTTTTTAATATAGAAACTTCACCACCTTCCGAACCTTTCTCACAAATAAAACACCAACTGGTCTCTGACGTTGAAGTAGATGCCATGTTGAATGATAAGTTGTTAACTCAACGGAAAACGCTTGATAACTAAAACAGCTCGATATACAAAATATTCGATTTCCTATGTAAAATAATCGTACGATGACTGACTAAAACAAAATAAAAACAAATTCATAAATAAATTTATTAATTATAATTAGTTAAATTATATTTATAAATTAATAATCAATGATTTCAATTTTTATTATTAGTTTTTACAATTACAATATTAAAATAATAAATGTATATACTTCTTGTAAGTTTTTTATCAAAGTAAAAAGCAGGGTTTATAAGATTAGTTTATATAATAAATTATATATATATTTATGGTGAAGGTAAATACATAATTTAACACATGTTATATTATTTTAGATTCATTGAGGAATAAAAAACCATAATAAAAACAGAAGTACATATTTATAACTTTAAAGGAAATAAGATGCAGTCAGTATGTTTTAATTGGCACATATTGAAAGCGAACAAAAGATTAAATAACTGCTATGATCATAAAACTTAAAATAAAATAACAAGAAATCTTTAACTTTTTATAAATGATCACTGTAAAGGAGAATGTAAGAATTTAGCAGAAATAATAGAAAAAACTAGAGACCTGAGTTATATAATAGACTATCCTAAGTAAACAAAAATGTATGGTTGCATATGTGTGTGACAATTTTAATAATTATTCATATAGATTTAGTATAATAATTAATTGGTGGAAGATAATAATTATTATTGTAATCGAGTTAAAATACTTACATTTTATTATATACTTACACTTTTAATATTTTAATTTCAGGTACAAATATTATTTTATCTTTTTGAAAGGATTATTACTCATTCTTACTAACACTAGTCATATAATAATTTATGTATTAAATTCATTTTTATTAATCACGATATATAACTTACAATATGAAAAATATATATATGTAAACAATAGTTATGTAAGACACTAAAAATTGTAAATGTCTACACTGTAACATCATTGTAAAATTATTATTGTAAACCGATATAACAAATTGTAATCAAATGTATGTCAAATTCTAAATCAATCGATAATAGGCATATCATTTCTATTATTGTTCATAATATATTTCCCGGAACGTCACGGCGCGGTTTGGTACGTCCTTATCGTAGATTTATATAAATATAATATGTACGACATACGTACGTATGTGAGTATTAATAATTTAATGATATTGTGTAATTCTAATTTCTATCAGTCTTTCCACTTTCGTCATCACTACTTGATATTCTTTGCGTTTTACTATTTACGTATAGTGCTTTTTTTTTTCTATTTAATTTAACATTCAAGTGTTTTAACTTTTTGGAATGGCTAAGCGCGCGTTACCATATAAAGTTGATTTTTTGAAGTTTGGTTTTACAGAAATAAACGATCGATCGGGATTAGTGCGTCCGCAATGTGTGTTCTGCCTGCAAGTTTTGTCAAATGAATCAATGAAAGAAAATAAACTTAAGCAGCATCTCAACACTGTTCATCCTACATTGATAAATAAACCATTACAATTTTGAAAGGAACATAAAAATAAAATTTTGTCATGAGTAAATGGTAAAAATTATACCGATAAAAAAAATAGTTTATTCTTTCTCTTGAAAAGTAAAAATGTTTGACTTGTGCCCCTTCTCACTAAAATCGTCCGATTGTTCTCAAGGTTATTCAATACTATAGCAATCTATTATTAGGTTATGAGCGTAATAATATTATTTAATGACGTATACTTAAAGATACGTAGAGACTAAAATAAACTTAATCAATGGAAATTGGAAAGCATAACATAATAATATTAAATATAGATATTTATATCAATATAAATCTTTATTGTAACATGTAAAATTAAATGCATAATGGAAAAAGCTCGAGAAGATGATTTATTCAATAAAACCATTTTGCATTTCTATCTTCTTTTTTATTCTTACATTAAATGGAATTTATATATATATATAAAGTAATATATACTCTTTGTTTATTAATTGTTATTTCATAACATTAGGCTGTCTGATGTTATCAACCACACTGTGTCTAATGATATCAGTCAAGATGAGTTAACATAAAACTTATATTGTAATATTATACTTATTATAAAACTTTACAGTTAATTAATTTTATAGTGTAAGAAAGATTATTAAGACCTTTAAGTATAAACCTTAAATTGTTGTTTATCTACTTACAGGTAATATTTGTATATATTAAGATAAATTATCATGTCATTCATATTAATAAAATAAAAAAATCTACTTACAGATAAACACAAGTTGTTTTTACTTAAAAAGAAAAAAAACCTTTATAAGGAACACTTATATATATTCATTAATATATATATATAATAAATGTAATACTAAACAATTAATTATGATAAATGATATGATAATAATAGTAGTAATAATAATATAATAATTTTATTATTAGGTACTACTATTATTAGTTTTTCCATTAGACATAATATATAATTTTAAAACAACTGTGAGTCAGTAACTACATTTCCAAGTAACTTAAAAATACATTTGGTACTGTACCCACAGTCTTCACACATTCAGAAATACCAGTCATGAATTTCAGTGAATCGAAAAACTCCCAAGAGCTTTTCACGATCTCATCTAAACCTGCTCCACTCTTCTTATTTTTTATTTTTTGTAGTTCAGTATTCATTTGGAACCGAAGATTGTGTAACTATTTACCAACTAAGTTAAATAATAATACAATTGTGTTAATTCAATTTAAATGTTTAAATTGTATTTATATAATTACTTGGTAGTATCCTGTCCCATAAAATCTTAATGCCGTAAGAAGTTTCCATGAATTAGTTATGGGTAATCCTCTCATATCTGTGTTAACATTTTGGTCATCTTCAGGAAATATCTTGGGCATTAAAATATTTAAAAAAATTTCCTTAGTGAACCGAAATCTTCTAAAATACTCGTAGTTCGAATAAACGTCCAAAGGATCTGACTTATTTCTTTTATATACTTTCCTAACTCGTATTTGAATTGGTTCGTTTATATAGCCATAATTGTCATCAAAATCATCCATTTTGCTTTCGAGTAAATTTAAATTAATTATAAATTTGGAAAATTGCTACAAGTGAAAATTAAATGTTTTTATTCCCACTTCTAATACTTTCTATATAAGTTTTCCATGAAACACAAATATTTAGTAATACAATTATGAAAATATTAAAGACTTACAAGATAATCGTAGTTAAGCCATTTCTATTTCTTGACTATTGACTTAAGTTTTTATGACCATGACTTATGCCTTTTAGATTCTTTACATTTTGACTTAACTCTTAATTTAAATGTATTAGTTACAAGGTTTATAATTCTCTAAACTTTTATATTTATTATTGTTTAAACTTTAAACAAATAAAATACATCTAAGTATAATAAAAAAAATATTAATAAAAGAAACAACCTACTCATCATCAATAGTTAAAGTTTCATCGAGGTCTGGATCATATGACTGGTTATCAGTACTATCATCAACCAAATTCTTGTAAAAATCATGATAAATATTAGGAACTAATGTAAGAAGTTGGAGTAAGTCTCTTTTTTTTTCTTTAGATATTGGTACTGGTGCATTGAACATTTTTTGCAATGAAAAATTATTGACCTGGCCACTTCTTTTTAGATTTAGTACTTTAAAAGGTTTATTTTCACATAAACTTGTCTTGTAATACAGTAAACCAGTGGTTCCCAACCTTTTATGAGTGTGACCATACAATTTTAAATTTAACCTGTGGCACCCCCCCCCCCCCCCCAAAAAAAAAAAAAAAAAATTACAAACATTACTTTCATTTATTTACATCAAATCGGTAAATATATTGGTACATTTATCTATCCTCAAATACTAAATAAAATAAATTTATAAAATACAAATAAAAACTAATCAACATACGTGACTTACGTCTTAAAATATTATAAAAAGTTTCAAATTTGTCATGGTATTAATTGTATTAACTCTTACTTAATAACTTCCTTGATGCTGAACATATTAAACAAGTTCTTCAATATTTCGATGTATATTCATTGAAAGTGCACATCGCATATTGTGTTGAGCGTCAAGCCGGTTTCTATATTTTGTTTTGATGACAACTAACGTAAAAAATCCGGTCTCACATAAGTAATAATGTGGTTGGGAATTTTCGGATTCTCTTGATAAAATCGGTTTATCTTTTAGTTGTGCCCAAAATTGCGTCAAACACATTCTTGAACAATTTTCTTTTAAGACTTGACTAGCTTGAAGGTCAAGGAGTTCTTCTTGGAACCCGCAAATGTCTTCACCAACTTCGTGAACAGAAATTTCAAAATTATTTCTTCCCCAACTGTATTTACTGAGCTCTACGTTTACTGTCATATATCGATCGAGTTCTAACTGTAATTTGGCCAAGTACTCTTGAAGCAGTAATTTTAAATCATTTAATGTTACGTTTGTTGAATCTTCAAGAAATTCACTTAAAAGGGGAAATGTAGCAATTTTTCCTTGAAACATTTTTCCCGCCAAAGTGCGAGCTTTTGTTTGAATGATGAGATATTTTCGCCTATATCGACCATTGTCCTATTCTTCCCCTGCATCTCAATATTCAATTAATTTAACCGTCCAAAAATATCAGTTAGAAAAGCCAATTTAGCGACCCATGAATCGTCATTAAATTTATCAGTAAATGAGTGTTTTTTTTCCGTTAGAAAAATTTGTATTTCTAAACGCAGACATTACACGGGTAAGAATTTTTCCACGGGAAAACCAACGCACATCCGAGTGATAAAGTAAATTAACATACTGTGATCCCATCTCGTCACACATGGCATGTAATATTCTTGTATTTAGTGCTCTTGATTTTATGAAATTGACAATTTGAATTACGTCTTGAAGTACTGAAAAAAGTTCTGGCTGAATTGTTCTAGTTGTTAAATTTTCTCGATGTAAAAAACAATGAATAATTACAACATTTGTGTTAACTTCCTGAACTCGTTTACAAAATCCTATTCGATTTCCAAGCATTGCCGGTGCACCATCCGAACAGATTCCAACACAATTACACCAAGCAAGTTTATTTTTCCGAAAAAATCCATCAACTTTATCAAAAATAACTAAGCCTGTTGCTGTTGTAAGAAGAGGCTCACAAAATAAAAATTCTTCACGAAAATCGTCGGTACTTTGATAACGTATGAATACCATCAATTGTGGGTTATTTCAGATTCACCAATTTGTATGGACTATTTATTAGCTGTAATCACCTGATGTACTAGCTGTTTTAAAATATTTTCAGACATAAGGTCTATTCTTCGTTTAACTGTGTTATCCGAAAGTGGGATTAATTCCAATTTGTTAGCAATGTCATCTCCGCAGACCATTCTAACCATAGAAATAGCTGCTGGTTTGATAAGTTCCTCTCCAATGTGCCTTTTTAGAGCGTGCGATTTTCCAAGCAACGTCAAATGATGCTTTTGCTGTTTTCTGTAATGAAACTGTAAGTGTATTGGATGGACAATCAAGACGCGTTTAAATCTTTTATTACAATTTAGTCAGATTTGTACAATAATTTTTAATGTTTAAGCGAAAATTAGTAATTACTTTTGACACTAAAATAATTATTATACAATAAATAATTATTATAATTATTATACTTTTAAGGTTCCCATGTATAAAATTATTAATATATTGTAATATTTACAATCTTCGTGGTTTTTTCTGGATCCAACTCAATAGGTCTTCATAGTACACGAAAACGAACAGAAAGCAAACCAAACGCGTTCTCCACAACTCTGCGAGCACGAGAAAGTCTAAAATTAAAAATTTGATTTGGCTTGGGTTGGTTTCGAAAAGGAAACGGTTTCATTAGGTATGTTTTCAAAGGAAAAGCATCGTCAGTGACGCTGACAAATGGTACCGAATTTGACTGTCCACGTAAAGGTTTTGGTTCAGGTATATTCAAAGTATTATTTTCGATAGTTTTTGATAGTGAACAGTTTGCAAATACACCACCATCTGAAATACGGCCGTTACATCCCACATCAACATACAAAAATTTATAATCGGTGCCAACAAGAGCCATTAATACAATGATGTGTGTCCCTTTGTAATTAAAGTAAAGGCTTCCACTATTCATTGGTGCTTTCATCACTACATGTTTACCATCGAGAGCACTAATACAGTTAGGAAAATTCCAAACGTCATAAAAACGTTGTGCTTCCCTTTTCCACTCGACAGATGTAGCCGGAATCTGTAAACATATAAGTGAATTATGAGTTAAATTTAATATTCTGAGTGAAGCGATAAATGTATTGAATTTACAATGATGTGTGTTTTTTTTTGTGTCTGTCGCAAGTGTTAACAGTACCTTATCGGATATAAAGTGAATCACTTGTAACCTACTGTACGGCAGAGCGACACCCACTTTTTTGTAACTTGTATCTTGTATTTAGGTTTTAGGCATTATCAATAAAAAGTTTGAATGACCAGTTTTTCTTAATCATTTTAAATTTAGTTATTTTATATTATTTTGATGATGATTATTCTTCCATACAATAATTATATTAAATGGTATTTTGATGTCGATCGAACAAAGGGGGGGATGGCTGAAAAATTAAAAAAGGTTTGTAAGTGGATGTCCCTCTGCTGTACTGTAGGTTACAAGTGGGTCACTGTATAATGGATGGTATTAAATTTGAATCCAATGATATAATATCATTGTATAAGAAAAACGATTCTGAGCGGAGACGGTATGTCAGTCCAGGTATAAGACATATTATATACTTATCTATGGTATTAAATTATATGGAATTTATGAATAAATTATTCATTGCCCCTTAAAATATGCACAGTCTTATCATTGGGCATACTTCTTATTCCTTATACTATGGTAGATTGAATGGATAAGCCATAATATTTTGATTTTTCAGTTTCATATATCCCTGAATAATATATTTTTGACCCAACAGATAAAACTTTATTGATATAGAAAAAAAACTAAAAAAATCGAAAACTAAAAATGTCCGTAAGTAGTATATATTTGTATGTTCACAGCCAGCTTTTCCAGGGAAAAAAAAAACAGTGAGTGTTGTTGAACACTCGGCAGGAACGAAGTTCAGTGCATGTGATGCGAGACGCGGAAACATATATGGTTAGAAAAATATAAATAAATAGTGATAGAGAGAGAGAGACAGAGAGAGAAATGAATGCTTGTATAAATATATCGCGCGCATGGTAATAAAATTATAATACATTTTTTCTGAGTATTATAAAAAAATCGTATTTTAATCATTATAAGAGTACAAAGCAATTATGAAATTAATCAGTAGGTCTAACGCGTCGACTGCGGCGCTGGCAGTCGCGGGTTCGCCTCTCGACCACTGGGCGGCATTTTTCTCCGGGCAAGTCACGGTGTCCGGAGTACAAGTGCCGCCATCCCCCAACCCGGGGCATGGCAGAAACCTACGGGTGCCCCAATAAAAATTCTGCCACCACAAACACACACGTGTACCAACCTACCCAATCTAAAAACCTACAGTTCCCTCCCAACACCCAATGGCCTATGTTGCCGCGGGTTATCCAATAAAAAGAAAAAAAAAAAAAACCTATTGATTGTGTAATGGGTAAAATATAAGAATAGAGGTTTAGGGGCTGTATTATTAGAGAGAGAGATATAATGCCCGATGGCACGAGAATGAATCTTACGTTTTTATTTATTTGGTGGGGTGTGATTATCTTTAATATGTTCAGCCTCTAATTTATCTTATAGAATTTCCCTTTACTAAATGTTATTATGTATATATGTGTGTATTATTTAAGTACATGCTTTAATCATAATATGTGTGCACTTACCTTGTTTGGATATGAATGTGCTTGTCTTCTGTGACTCTCGAGTTGTGGATTAGATGCACGTTATTTATTACCTCTTTTATTGATGATTTTAGGTTGAATTGAAGTATGGATTTTTTTTTTATGTTGGAAATAAGAATAATATGGAAAGGAATTTAATAAAGTTAACACGTATTTGATTCAGTTATAAATGTAAAAATATGAACGTAACAATATGAGTTAGCACTTAGGTGTTTGGATATTTGTGAGACGCGAGTGTAAAATATAAGTTAAGTTAAAACTTGGTGAATAGATGAAAAAATGATTTATGTGTATATGTGTGGCGTAGAAAAAATGGTATTGCGGCTATGTGGCTATATGATGACACTGCGACATTGGTCAATCCTCTTCTCTTCGCTCCGCTCCTTGAACACCGTCTCTGATCTGTCTGCTGTTGTGTCTTTGGTGTGGGCGTTACTTATATGAGCGTATCATAATTGTCGTCGCATGTCGCAGCATCACTATCCGTGTATAGGGTGTAACTATTCTTTGTAGTGTATTCGTATTGTTTTATTACGGTGTGTATGGATGCGTCTTGTGAACTATTCTATCCTATATGTATGTGTGTGTGTGTTTTATATAATTTGGGGAGATTTTGATGTATATTCTAATTGTTGTTACATCATTACCTGTATAATTCGGGATGTGATTATTCAATTATTTTTATATTATGTGATTGATTTTGGTGTACATATTAATTGTTGTGTCATCATGTTTTAGATGATGGGGTTCAATTATTGTAATGTGCTGTGTATTTAATTGTTGTTGCACAACGTCTTATTATATTTTATGTGATCTACTTATATGAGAATTATATTATAATATTAATCGTTTATATGTGGCCGATTTAATTGCATTATATGTGCCACACCCAAGTACTTATACTCATATTGGAA